TGTTTCCGATACATACCTGAAAATAGTCTTTTTTTGAAAAAATATTGTTTTAATTTGAAGTACTGTTAATATATCAAATGCACTAAAAACCTTCTTTTGTGTGAACAATTGATGTAGAAAGTTTAGCTTGCTTACCTACTCTAATGTTAGATACAAACCGAAGTTATAAACACAACAGTTATATTGGTTGACCTCATTATAGCGGTATTGTCCACCAATATACAGTGTTGTTTTAAGTATTTTTATAAACAAAATATCAACCATAAACTACAAACAACGTTTATATATAATGGCAATTACTTAGCTTATGGATAGTGTTTGCTTGGCCTAGTATTTGGACATCCTCGCATTCGACACTAATGAACATAAAAGCGTGAAATGAAAATCACGCTGTAGAAAGGCTGGGTGAGCTATCAGTGTGTACGATACTGTGAAATAAGGGCCGGACACAATCTATGTAAATATGTGATATGTGGTGTGTTACGTATATGTGGGCTGACATTCTCGACATTCCTGCAGCTATGACGAAAGTTTATGTAATATTAATGAGATTGTAATTTGGCGGAACACTCTTATCAACTTTTGTAATCTCAGCTGGTACAGTACTAATAACTGGTGATTTCTGTAATGCACTGGCTAAACGCTATCGGTTTTCATCAGTTCTTATGTTACATGTGTGTTTCTTTACTGTTTGTGTATATCTAGCACATGTCCATGTGTCTGTCTGCTTCATATATGTCCAAACACGTAGACACACACAGTGACATGTCAGTGTTTATCTGTATGTGTGCCACATGTGCATCCTGACACATATACATGTACCCGCACCCCTGTGACGGTTATTATGCTTGTACATGTTTTGCCTATGAGCCGTACGGTTTAAAGCTAATAAAAATACAATTCAAAAGACAGTGTTGTGTGCCAGCCACCTGTTGGGATCAGACAGATACAAAGCATATTGAAGACATCATCCAATCATTATGATTCACGCATGGAAGCCAATACCCGCCAAAATCCAATTAAAACGAAAAAAGGGGCCAGATTTAGCTTTCATGAAACAGAGCAGTCAGGCGTGCCATGTTCTACACCTTTTCCGTGTATGAGATTATCCCTGACTAAGACCCTCGTACTTATCACCTTCTTTCATGTGTGAGTGTTTCCCCAACTAGGACCCGAATTCCTCTAACCGATCCCCTATAACAGAGTATCCCTTGGGAACTAGGACTAAAGTTATCATTCCTTTTATCCTATACAAGTGGAGAAGTTGAAGAAACCCTCACTCATCACCTCTCCCCTATATGAGATTATCACTGACTAACACCCTTCACTCATCTTCTCTCCCCTATATGAGATTATCACTGACTAGCACTCCCTCACTCATCACCTCCCCCTATATGAGATTATCCCTGACTAGCACCCCTCACTCATCACTTCTTCCCTTTATGAGATTATCCATGTCTAGCGCCCCCTCACTCATCACCTCCCCCTATACGAGATTATCCCTGACTAGCACCCCTCACTCATCACCTCTCCCCTATATGAGATTATCCCTGACTAGCACCCCTCACTCATCATCTCTCCTCTATATGAGATTATCCCTGACTAGCACCCCTCACTCATCACCTCTCCCCTATATGAGATTATCACTGACTAGCACACCTCACTCATCACCTCTCCCCTATATGAGATTATCCCTGACTAGCACTCCCTCACTCATCACCTCCCCCTATACGAGATTAACCCTGACTAGCACTCCCCACACATCACCTCTCCCCTATATATAAGATTATCCCTGACTAGCACTCCCTCACTCATCACCTCCACCTATACGAGATTAACCCTGACTAGCACTCCCTCACTCATCACCTCTCCCCTATATATGAGATTATCCCTGACTAGCACCCCCTCACTCATCACCTCTCCCCTACATGTATATGAGATTAACCCTGAATAGCACTCCCTCACTCATCACCTCTCCCCTTTATATGAGATTATCCCTGACTAGAACTCCCTCACTCATCACCTCTCCCCTTTATATGAGATTATCCCTGACTAGCCCCCCCTCACTCATCACCTCCCCCCTATATGAGATTATCCCTGACTAGTACTCCCTCACTCATCCCCTCTCCCCTATATATGAGATTATCCCTAACTAGCACCCCCTCACTCATCACCTCCCCCTATATATGAGATTATCCCTGACTAGTACTCCCTCACTCATCACCTCTCCCCTATATGAGATTAACCCTGACTAGCACTCACTCACTCATCACCTCTCCCCTATATGAGATTAACACTGACTAGCACACCTCACTCATCACCTCTCCCCTACATGTAAATGAGATTACCCCTGACTAGCACTCCCTCACTCATTACCTCTCCCCTATATGAGATTATCCCTGACTAGCACTCCCTCACTCATCCCCTCTCCCCTACATGTATATGAGATTAACCCTGACTAGCACTCCCTCACTCATCACCTCTCCCCTATATGAGATTAACACTGACTAGCACACCTCACTCATCACCTCTCCCCTACATGTATATGAGATTAACCCTGACTAGCACTCCCTCACTCATCCCCTCTCCCCTACATGTATATGAGATTAACCCTGACTAGCACTCCCTCACTCATCACCTCTCCCCTATATGAGATTATCCCTAACTAGCACTCCCTCACTCATCACCTCTCCACTATATGAGATTATCCCTGACTAGCACTCCCTCCCTCATCACCTCTCCCCTATATGAGATTATCCCTGACTAGCACCCCCTCACTCATCCCCTCTCCCCTATATGAGATTATCCCTGACTAGCCTATATGAGATTATCCCTGACTAGCACCCCTCACTCATCACCTCTCCCCTATATGAGATTATCCCTAACTAGGACCCGTTCACTCATCACCTCTCCCCTATATGAGATTATCCCTAACTAGGACCCGTTCACTCATCACCTCTCCCCTATATGAGATTATCCCTGGCTAGCACCCCCTCACTCATCACCTCTCCCCTATATGAGATTATCCCTGACTGGCACACCTCACTCATCACATCAGGACGTGTGTCAGACATGTGTGATTGTTATTTAAATAACACCTTTTTACGTGTTCAAATTCTTTACACAGATCCCACGTCCAACATTCTAATGCAGACTTCTCACATCGCCCAGCAGTACAAACAAAGTGTGGGTTTGTGCCTCGGGTTTGACTCAGAAGACGCCGATGCTATTCCCAGTCATAGCTTGTATTTATATTAATAGACTATAGTGGTGGCATGCCTTGCCAAACAAGAGGCCCAAGGGCCGAATCGCCCACCTGGTTTGCGCTTGAGACTTCCTTTGATTTCTTATTCAAGTGAACCATTTTTTATGCGCAAACCTCGTCTATGACAAATAGGAAATAACACTGTAGACTAGCAATTGTAGAAACATCTCATTGTATCAAACAGGAGCGTAACACTAGTCTTTAAAAGTCAGCATACATGTATTTTGCTTGGACGCAAAGGTATGTACATCCGGCATACACCGAGGCATTTACATATTTATACACAGGGGCGTGTCTGTATGTGTTGGGACATAAGTGTTGAAATAAACAGATGTGGAGAGTTTAATTCAGATTTTTATAATTGCACGTTCATTGATGGTTTAATTCTGATTTTTATAATTGCACAACTATGATCCCAATGGTTAACCAAAAAACAGCCAATATACTATAACATATAACAGACGTAACCTGTTTAAAAAATAATGTTTAATTAAAACTCAGGTGCACGACTAGGCCCGTTTATACCCAGTACCCAGAATTTTAATATCTTACGTATAAGTAGGCATATACGGGGACAAACATGTGTGTGTGATGCATGGAAATCACAGGTGATGTATGCGTTCTTATTTGACATATTCCTATAGCAAAGTATTTTGTTAAAACGATTTCCGTCAAATCGATCCCATCGAAATTCACTGTTCATTTATAAAACAATGTCACTCCCTTTAAGATTTGCTAGTGAAATCGAACGCTATCAGACTGTATGTAATATATTCGGTACCCCGTGTGGAGCCCCGTGTACCATTTCCATCAATATTGGAGTGCCTCGAGCTCCCCACCGGAGGGGGTTATTTATAGGCCAGAGGCCACCGAGTGACAGCGGTTTAACGTCTACATAAACACACGTCCTCTATATTGCCGAAACACCGACAAAGTTGAAATATGTAATCTGTAGCGATATGTTGTCATTAATCAGCTTTGGAGGGTTTATTAAGGAATGAGTATACATACATCGCCAGAGTACATAACTCCTGCCTCCTCAAACAACACAGAGCCGTTTTATATGTGCTGGGATTAAAGCTTAGCTGCCCATGTACACTGACGGCTATCTCCCTACAGATCTGATCCCTTCAACCGTACCGTTATATCCTTGAGCACATCATAAATACTAAGCGTCCCACACCTCGTGTTGCACAGCTACTACAAACGCGAGGCTCAGAATCGCCCCGAGCGCGTACATTGTCCCTACAATCTATAGGCCTTCACTTATCTAAAGCGAGTCGACGCTGGTGAAGCAACCATGTACACACTTTACATGTATATAACCGAAGTGTTTTTGGACGACTAAGACCAGATCTGATCGACTAGCTCATGTTAGAGCGATATAACCGCGCTGTTTTGGCGGGTAAATAGGGTAGTAGCTGGGTCAATAAACACTGCGCCCATTGACGAGTGTCAAATATTACCAGAGTATGCTCCGTGGTAGCGAGACACCTAAGGTTTGTTGGTGTGTTTGTTTGCCGTTGTGCATGAACCATGCGCGTTTGTTATGATTCTTCTGATATGCTATGTAATCGGTAAAGCTATCCTTTTCCACACGCTAGTCGAGAGCTTGGGGGAACGGATCGGTGCATAGACTACATTAGCCCACTAAACAACCATAACACCAGGCTCCTAAATCCAGACCTGTCGCCTGTTATGCTCAGATTTAGCAGACTACGAAAATTCTACTTACCCAAAACAGAAAGTTGAATGCAAACATCAAATACTTGATGCAAGTATGACAGCTTCCTAACGCCATTGCTGCAGGTAGTATGCTTCAACTGAGTGGCAGAGTAAAAACACAGTAACAATCCACACACGGAAATATTAAGATCCTTCTTTTCACAGCGAGCGTGTATCACAATATACCTGGGTCGTCCTTGCTAGTCGATAGTCGTTCCTACACACTACACTGTTGAGTCGGGACTGTTCACGCATCAATGGGAATGTACCGCGCTAGGCTAGATCATGTAGGCCCGCTGTTTGTTGTTTGTCCAACACAACGTCACGCTCAAGGCCCACTCGATACAAGTCTTTACCACTAAATCCAATCTCTGTACTGTTGCTGAGGATATTTGCGGTAACGTGATTCATACACTGCACAGAGACCTGATGCAGTATCTTTCAAGCACAATGTCTTGACTATGGCACAGTCTGGCCAGGTTTCCTCAATATTCACTCTAGATAAAGACAAGGTTTATATCTCACCGACAAACCACTTATCAAATTTAAAGTGGTCTGCATAGAAGTTGCATTAGTAATGAAAGAAGAACAATCGATTTTAATAATGAATTGATTCATTATTTAACAGGTCGTTTTTCACAGAAGAGACACGGTTGTGTAGGCGTATTGATATGTAACTTGCACTTACGCTAAGGTCACACTCTGATGAACCTTTTTGAACCATGTAATATTAAAAATTAAAAAAGAAGATCACCCCCAACCTGAAGTAACAATCGTGTTCCAACTGAATAGACTCCCAGCCTATAACGAAATATCGAAAAACTGGAGCTGTACCACCAAACCGCACATTAAACTATAGCTTTGCGTACATAGGTGTTACAGAAGTAACGAAATCGATTTTTATTAAAGAAAGTAGTATTTCATTATTAATAAGGTCGTTACTCTCCGACCTGCGTGGGTAGTTCGATGTTTAGTATAACTGCCACATCTATTTTAGTTGTACCGATTTGTTGACAATAACCACTATTTCTAACCATGAAATATTGATTTTCAAAAAGGAACAGCTCCAACATGAAATACTAATCGAAAACTTTTACATTTGAGCAGAATTATTCTACTCTGCTGCAGCACATTCTTTAAAGTATCGAGACGACTGTAACAATATCGCGGATGTACACTGTATGGACGTAATTTCTGCTACAACATTTCTATCAATATATACCATGCTTTAAATAGACACAACTCCGGTTTGGGATGACCATGTCGAGTTCGCAATAGCATTATGTCTACTATCATGTCATGTCAAATTGTACAAGGACTGTTTCTATGTTTTCAAAACATTAACGTATCAGGCAGAGTCAATATCTCTTGCGCCCGATGCCATAACAACCGAAGGAAGAATCTGATATAATTCCATTTGTACATTTTCCTCCCACCAAAATCTAATGTTTACTATGTTTGATGTCGCCAAAGTCGACAAAAAACAAGTATTGAGGGGACAAACCACACGGAACACACATAAACATTGTTTAGAATCAAAAGCATGCTCTGGAAAGGGAGGGACTTGACATAAACATTGTTTATAATCAAAAACAGGCTCTGGAAAGGGAGGGCCTTGACATAAACATTGTTTAGAATCAAAAACATGCTCTGGAAAGGGAGGGACTTGACACAAACATGGCAAGTCTTTCAATTTCACTTTAGATGTATCAACTGTGTGTTGTCTTTAAATAATGATAAAGGAAATTATCGATCACGTTGATGGTTTATACCATGCTGAACTTAAATCAAGGACAAGGAACACTCTTCCACATCACCCAGTTTCCTCGAACTTTACTGACAAGATAATCATAAGGGACGGATTGTTATCAGCTGTACGATAAACATGACTATTTCGATTTTCCTATTGTAACTTTTCCCTTTCTCGACTGTAAAATTCATGCTTCCTCAACCTACGAAGTAACTTGTTGTGCAGTTGATTCGATAATCAAGATCTTGGCCAAATACCATATCGACTGCTGACGGCAAACTAACTCAGGGTTGGTGGCGATACAAGCTGATGAGTTTTATTGACATGTTTTAAGGTCTCCATCACCTCATTGGGATACATGTTTTTACATTGTGTGATATGGAAGTCGATGTTTTGGATTTATTTCACTGGTGTCCCTTGTTTTGTCGTTGGCACTGCCAAGGCATGTAACGTTACTTAGATTTGACAGAGATTTACCGGATGTCGTCCATCAAGCAGAAGGCGGAACACACAGTCATATTCTAAAAGTGGTTTTCAACGGTGTTCATGTAAATGTTTCCTTCTGTTATATTTCGCCCTGTTTTGTATCAATTTCGAGTTCGATTAATGGTTTTATTGACACTTAAGTCATCTCTTGTTGTTTTCCATTTATAAGAAGAGTATGGACTAATAGTTATTTGTAACGCATCTGTCATTTTGAATCTGATCGCGAATTTACCACTCCAGTGGTGAAAATGCATTTGAGCACATACTATGAAAATATGTTCGAATTTAGTTTGTTATTTCCTTGATATCATTAAGATCAAATAGCGTGTTATGTCAAAAACCAAAACCAACCCACACGCCAACACTATACTGTGACATTGTGTAGAGTTCATGAATTAAATAACCTTAGAAATAAGACTCACAATAAACCATTAACATGTTTGTAATTATTTATTATAGTTTCTTCTGGTTAATCGTGCAACCACAAATCCGGTTGTCCTAAAATGCAGCCTCTGTTTGAGGGAATATATTGACCTTATCTTACACATTAGTGTCGCAATCATCCAGCCAAATCACAATCTAACAATTTCTACTTTGAACGAAATTGTCATATTATTGAAGTTTTATAATTAACTTACAATTGCAATCCTTTATGGTATAAACTGTCTGCGTGGGGTCTTTTTACGTCGTGTTCTAATCAAATTGTTTACAAGGGTTCGTCTACTGTAAAAGTTCTAAGGAAACAGGGCTTGATTGTAAATGGTAATAATTATGTTGGAACATAAAATCATCTTTAAATGCTTTTCATCAAATGGTTGCATTTTTGTTGTTGTCAATGTTTAGTTTTTAATACTTTGTCAATGGTAATAGTTGGACTTTTGTCGATGGTTATATTTTAAAATATTACTCGTCATAAGTTATATTTTTTGGCAAAGGATGTAATTTCGGATTTAATTAATTGTGTTATTTTTTTTGTACTGAATGGTGTGCTTCAGTATTTTTTTTGTTCTTTTTGACGAATATTCCTTTCCAATTTTCACAAGTATTACAAATTCTTAATGTATAGTGCGAATTCCCAACGTTAGAACTCTGGGATGGCTGTAACAACAATTATTAAAAAACTAGAAATATGTCAAAATGATATGAAAGTCACCCAATCTCCTGTATGATTATTTTCAGTATAATAAATCATTAACCAAGCTACAACTGACATATTTCCACCTGTCAATCAAAATGATCTAACAATGACCGGATATGCATACATGCTGTTTAGGTAACCATGCCAATCTACTAGGATATAATAAGAAAGCATGTGGTTGATTTACTTGAAGAAAATGTTCCATGTTTTATGACCATAAAACATAAACAGTGCAAAAAAAAATCATTTTTTTAAAATTTTTTATTTGTGTGACATTCCCTGGCCTTCTGCATCCAAATTTCAAGGCCTTCCACATTCAAACATGCCAAACTGCCAGGATGAGATATTTCATCTGTTAAAAAAAAAAAAAAAAAATGATATAAGAGAACTGAACATGCATATTGGAGCAAATCATTTTCACCAAAACTAAAGGTTGATAATTAAGGAATTTCCAATCCCTATCACTAGTTTGTACTGGTATTGTATTTGTTGCTATTTAACTCCATAGTATCAGTTGATTATTCTCAGTAAAAATAACCAGCTATATTTCGTTACTACGTGACCTGCTGGATACAACACAAAGCTATTTTAAGCGTTTGGCCATCGTCTGTAAACTGACACAAAAATTACCGGAAGTTCGTCCGGAAAACATGAGAATCAATCACTGGTTAAAAAACACGCATAAATATGCAGTTTTGCTTAATACACTTTTTATCTTGCTCAAAATGAATCCATACCTGAAACAAGTCCACTGACATGAAGTTTAGAAATTAAACCAACTAATTGTAATGACTTACAGTGTATTGCTGCAATACCTAATTGGGATATTTAGTGTGGTCATGGTTTATTAAAGCATGTATAGACTATAGGGGTGTAACAATGTATCGGAAAACCAGTATATCGCAATACACAGGCCATATCGTACATGGGTCTATCATAATGCGAAGCAGATAATAAAATATTGCTGAATCGCAACATGTTCTAACAGTCAAATAGATATGCTAATAACCATAAGCCAGGCTATTACTAGCATACAATTCAATACAAATGTATCACACAAATGATCTCAGATTTAATGACAGCATTTTGACACCCATGAAGCCCAATTATCAGAAAAAAATACCAATTTTTCCTATGAAAATATATTACGACACTATCGCAATATTTTCCTTCTGTATAGCAATATATTCCGGTAAGCTCAACCAACAGGGGCTTGTATAGACTTATATGATAAAATTATCTAGAAATACCTATATATATACGTATTTCTAGCTAATATGTATCAAACAAGTCAATACAAGTCCTTGTGCTTAACCTGTATTATTACACCTACGATACCTTCAACCTGCAGGGGGAAGTGGAGAAACTAAAGAGAAATGTTTTATGTTACAGATAGAACGATCAGTGATCTTAGGAAATATTATGAAAGGAGCCATGATTTGCAGAAAGAGCTGTTGATAGGGTTATACCGCAATACCCTCAATTTTGTTGACATCCCTAAATTAGACTGGATCTTTGTTGGTTGATTTCATAGAAAAGAAATATATACATGCACAACAGTGCTGTTAAACACATTTGTCCTTACGTTTTGATAGGACACTGACAGGAATATTATTGGCAATAGCGATATACATAAATATGACAATGTCGTGTTTTGCCGTGGTGACCACGTGGAACTGTACCGGCAAAACATGATACCTCGTGGTCACCACTGCCACACCGCAGAAACGATTACTTTCATTAAACGGTGTCGAGCGCTTTTATTATAAATTCTGAATATGGCGAATTATGAACTACTTACCTTACATGACCCTGCACTCTTCCGGTTTTCCATTTCAAGTTCTGCCGTAAAGTGTTATGTCGTAAAGTGTTCCAAAGTTGTAAACGTTGTCATGCGGAATATGAATGTTGATGAAATATTTGTTTGAATGATGGCGCATTTATTTATGACCTATCACCCTTTGAAATTATTATTTGACGACTGAAAATGGTATGTAAATTAAAAAAATAAAGCAATTTCCATAAATGTCGTAAACTTTTTACTTTCGACGAACTTGATTCAGGCGTGCCGGTT